ATATTCACCCGTGTATTAACGCGGATCCTATTCTAATATACTATAAATTTCATCGTCTGCAGGTTGATATCATTGGTACTTAATATACAAAAGTTTACCGATCACGGGAGTTGCTAAAAATGTGCTTGAGCATCTCCATACCCTTGGTTACTTCGGGATTGATTTATTACAAAATTATATCGATATTAGGGTGGTTTTCACTAAGAGGGTTAATCTCTTGCATAGCTGATTTTAACTGCATTCCAAAGAAAGGAAAGTAATAACTTCAACAGCATTTTGTGTTTTGATTTTTGAATAATATTTGAACAAAAAAAAATATTCATCTAGACAGTTTATATCTCTAGAAAAAAAAGTCTAAGCAGAACAAATCACCTAGATAACTAGATAAGGAAAAATCACAATAGAAAGCCTATTTTAAAGAACGCTAGGTAAGCCTAATTCTATGCCCTTGAAAACACGGTGAAAGCGAGACGGCAATACAAATTTCAAGTCCCTTTACATGGTAAAATGTTTGTTTTTAAAATATTGTATCCTTCAGCTCCTATCATGCTACACTCGTTTCGTATGCAATTACAATATTATGGTATTTCAATGAACAAATCACATAGATATGAGGGTGAAGAATTCATCCTCTTAGAAGTTCCTTTACATATAACCAAAACGCTGAACCATTTCTTTTTCTTTAACAACACCCACATACAATCTACCCAAAGCTTCAGGGCTGATCCAAAATTTGCAGAGGAGAGATCAAGAAACATCAATATTACATGAGTGTGCCTCTAGAATCTTCGACCCTTGACTATGTCAGATTATTGCAGAACGCTCACGGTTTCCCAACAAAAGTGTTGCAGACACGGCGATATTTACCGTACTAAAATGATCATTTGATTACCTAAGTAAGCCGATACTCACCACTTGGAATGAAAGAAAGAGAAGCTACAATGTCTTTATTTGTATAAAATCAAACAAGATGGATTCACCTGTTGCCAGCGAAGTCTCACTGGAAAGAAGTGATCAATGCGCTTTCAAAGACATTGTCAATGGTCAGCATGGAAATCCAATCCTGGAAGGATATATGAAGATTAATTACATAGTTAGAGAAAACAAATTTGATTCATATTCATACTAAATATATATAAAAAAAAAAATTGATTTAAGATTGGATCTCTGAAGTATGAATCATGTTTCTTCTAAATTCATATTCTTGAGTAGTATCATCTGCTTTGCATTGAGTTTTTTTATTTATTTCTTATTCTATGGACTTTGATAAAATCCTAAATGAACATGATTAGCCTTATCTTATATATGATTAAAATCATGTTGTTGCAGACTCAAATTATATGATCGAAGTCAAGACGTACTATACTAAAAACACGGATAATGCAACTACACAATGACATGAAATATTACAGTTCTCAATTATTTTCGACAGCCATTAGTTTCACATAACAATATAGGGAAAAAGAAGTGTCACATAGTTTTGCTAAAATCTTTGATAAACTACTAACCGTAGCCTCCGCCATTGTTAGGTTGGATTGTCTCGCATTTCATTTGGCTAGTTCAGAGGTTCTACCCGAGTAGCTCTGGCCCATGATACAATTTGAAATGTCTTGTTTGCATTTGCTTGACTTCCCAAGCCTGCAAATAAAATGAGTAACATTATGATCAGACTCAATTTTCCATATTATGTAAACCAATTCGAACCACCAAATGCAGTTGCAAGGAGATCAAACATTTGAAACAAAAAAAAAATTGAAAAATCTATTAACAGAAGTTAAGTACAGACAAGAAGATATCGATACAACAATAAGTTTGTAGATTTGCTTTCCATTAGTCAACAATAATTTTTTGAGCAGATGAAACAGTAAGAAAACAACGAATCATAAATAGAAATAACACTAATATATGTAAAAAGCAAAATTCCAGACAATAGTGTGGTAAACTGGTTACAGTGTAAAAATCACAAGTACCCTGCTAACATATTTGGTGTTTGGTCTATTTTAGATTTAAACAAAGCCATTATTGGCAACAATAACCTCCATTTTAATCTGACATGGTTAATGAACTTCTGATCGAGTCATCGATATGGTACAGAACAATGTTGAACCCGATAATCTCTCACCCAATTACACACTCTTGCTACAATGTATCCAACGTTAAGCCAATGGAATAGTTTCTGATTTAGAAACCTGGAATGATATTAGAGTAGGAAGAGTGCATCGACATGCCTTACCTGAAAGCAGGTTCAACGAAAAAGACATTAGCTATGCTGCGTAGGACTTAGCAATTGGTAGATTCTGCATCGAGGAAATCAGCTTCTAAGGCTCTCATGATTTTCAACGGTGATGTGGGAGCGAGTGAGAAGGTGTATTGGATTTGGAAGCTTCAGAAGAACACGAGTCAGAGCAATGAGGGATATCCATCTGTGATAAGTTCCCTCTTGACTCTAGGAGACATATAATTTGATGGTGCGGAAGTGATTACAGAGTGTGGGACCTTGGAGGTCTTCCATTCGATGCTCGCAACCCTAATACATTGAGCCTCAATCCTATTTTATTAGCAAATCCAAAGCAATAGACTCAGTGCCATGTAAAAGACCATCTATATATAAATTTCAATCCATAGGTAGGGAACTAATATTTTCTTCAAGCTCAAATCAAACTATTCCAACAGTTGTAGAAACTATATATCAATAATTGAAGTTGTTCCAGGATAGGAATTTATTGTTTCGTTACCGGAGGAAGCCAATGATAATATTGGCTTTTGATGAGAGAAGACTCTGTCACAGCTTTGCGTAGTGAGGTAGTCTTTTCTTAAACTGAGCAGAGATGGCCTCGTTGAGATCGTCTGGTATAAGCATTGCAGAGTTCCAAGTTGCTACATAGTCAAGGCCTTGCTCTACGGTCAGCTCTCTGCTTCTTAATAACCGAACCTTTCTCCTTGTCACACCTAAGGGAGACTTGGTGCTATACCTGAAAAGGCATTAAGCTCATTGTGCCAGCCCTCTTGCTGAAAATTGTGAACATCATCCACACACTTGGGGAGGAAGACAGCACCCAAATATACAACGACAAGATTGTAAAAATCCTACCACAGATAGTGATGAAACGTGATCAGGCAAAAGTTAGATAACAATAACAGAAAGAAAGAGGTTGAGATCCTTGAAAAGAATGAAAGAAGTACTTTATATTTGGCTCACTGTACCTTTGTATTTGTGGAAGCAACTGGGTAACAGGTCCTATCAGGATATGTGAATGCATTTAGACAAGTATGCAAACTTCCCTTAAGTAGTTCAACAAACGGCTCTTTTAGTGGGTACTTTCTTGATCCACATAAAACACTATGGGGCGATTGGTTTGGATTTTTATTTGTGGCTGTCACTTTAAAATAAAACTGTAAGAAAAATGGCTATGACTTTTTTTTTTAAATATGGTTGTGACTTTTAAAAAAGTAAAAGTCATCCATTGTTGGCTTTTAAAAAAATCATGAATCGTATAACAAAAATACAAAATCTAGACTGTGAGAAATTTAAGGAACTATGAGTGATTATAGGAGAGTTAAATGTGATTAGAATAATTTGATTTTAATTTGTTTTTTTTTAAGTCACAGTTCTAAAAGTGCTCTCCAATCACCCCCTATGTTCCAGTATGTGCAGAATGCCACTGGAATTGTATTAACAACGAAACTGTGATGTAAAGACGATTAAATTACAAATTTTGCAAGCCCAAACTTAAAATTCCTTTGACAATGAGGTTGACCTGTGAGACCAATATCAACTCAAAGTAAAATTGTTCATATCGTCTTGTTACAATGCGTTAAGAAATCTGACAAGTTATTGACCTCCATAGTTTAGAAGACTTTACAAGTACCAATAATACTGCAATCATTGATGAGTAGTATAATCAACTTGACCATTTCGACTAGTTAAAATCGAAGAGTGAAGCACTAGCTAACGATTCCAAACTCCTACCTAACATAAGCAATTTTCTAGCTGGAAATGGTTAGATAACAAATACTCAAGCCACCTTATATAAAAAGACTGTGTACTAAACTTATGGAGGAGTCCTGAAAACAATGCCGAACACCTTGTTCTCATCCTCATTTGACACGGACATCACCTCGCAACCAGTTTTCTTGTGCTTGAAGAGAATCGCCTTTGATTTACACTCCGAGATGAATCCTTCCGACACCTTTTTCAAATCCAAGCTTTTCAGCCTCATCTTGACCTACATCTAAATCCCAAACAAAAGAGGAGTTCACGCATCAGCGCAGCTCACACATGACTCCGTTTCATTAAAAAAGCATATACAAAGCATGAGGAGATAATTCCTCAACGGCTACCTACGATTACTCAACAACCTATCCAAAAGTATAAACCCTAAGTTCACAAGTGCCACAAAGCACATAAGACATCGCCCCATGTTCTTCTAAGGAAAGGGTTAGTCTGAGATTGAGTAGTACAACATCATCAACTAAACAAGGGAACGAGAATCATGTGTAAATCTATATCTTCTAAGAGAATATCAAATATGCAAATTTCGTAGAGAATAACAACAACAAAAAAGGAGATTTTGATGGAAAGAAGAAAACAGAGCAATTTCGTGAATGGTTTCGAACTTCGGTGTGAAGTGGATGGCACATAGAGGCTTTATCTCCGATTGAGATTCATGTATGAAAAAAAAAAAACGAAGTTGAAGTCGTGATACCAACCAACACCATCATCTAGGAATATAGTCACCAAGCAAAAGAGTCTCTCCACTCACAAATAAAGAGAGGT